AGCCACTGAGAAAAATGTTATTACAAAATATATACAGTATATTAATTCTCAGGGTTCACAGTCTGGAAGTCACTCATTCGCAGCCCTTCCTCCCCCAGACGAATAAACAAAGCCCACCCTAGCCCCCTGTTGTTTCGGTCATCACCTCATTTGACATGCAAATGTTAGCAACCCAAGTAGCGGGTTAGCTCCTCTTCTCTAAACTAGCCCCAAATTTGGCTGGGCGTTCTAGTGTTAAAGTCTTGCGTAGTACCAGAACACACACATCTAACTTTTGACGTCCTCTGGGCTGTTCTGTTCTCTTTTTCATAGACTTCACGGTGAAGCAGGTGTATGCGAGGGAATGTGTCGGGGATTAAAGATTGATAGTAGGGTTGGAAAAGGATGGATGGATACTTGCTGGTAACTCTGAAGAAGATGACATGTCTGGGATCGTGTCATTAATTCAGGCAGAAGACATGTTTTATTGTCGATGGTAGAGACAGCACGAACAAAGCACACGATCACAGATACAAGAGAATGCAAGTGTATTATACAGAGCGGAGGCATGGAGACCTCCAATCAGCAGCTGCCACGGTGTGCTTGTAGCTTGGCCTTCAGATAGACAAAACAAGGGAAAAGTACTGGCTTCTGCACATTGATAGATTGATGAGTTTAACTTTAACAAAAGTTGCTTAAAAGTGTTATGAAATCTCACATTCCCCCCTCTGGTCATACATTCACGTGTGACCATCAGGATCGATAAACAGCAACATAACATCATAACTCAATACTTAAACTCGGTACTTCAAAAAACTCAGAACTCGGAATACTTCAAAAACTCATAAAACTCATAAAACATGTACAGATCTTTCATAAAACTTGTCAACAATCTTCAGTAAAATACCAAACTTCATCAGTCGATGGTGGTTCCAGATATTGCTTTGAAAACAGTCTCTCCCACTTCTCCTGTTGGTTTCTTCAGACTGCATTTGTGTCGAGCCATGAATTCTTCTGTGACGTGTCTTTCAATCACACGTTTCAGCTTCAGTGTCCAGATTCAGCAATTCAATTCAGTCCAAATTATGTCCAAATTCAGAAATCCAGATTGTTCCAAATGATGTCCAAATTGTGTAATCCAATTTTTCCAAATGATGTCCATGCAAAAGAGGACGATGGTATTATCCATGTCTCAGCAGCTCACAGCCTGACTGGAATCAGGGGCTGTGCAGATTGTCCAAGTGTGCTGGTCCAGATGCATGGTTTCTCTTGAGGTTTCTCAGTTTTGGCTTAAAAAAACACTTTTTGTGTAAAAAAAAAAAAGTCTTCTGTTCTCTAGATGTTACAGACAAGGCCCGCATCCTTCCACCACCTGAAGAAGATGACAAAGTCTGGGATCGCGTCTTTCATTCAGACAGAAGACATGTTTTATTGTCGATGGTAGAGACAGCACGAACAAAGCACACGATCACAGATACAAGAGAATGCAAGTGTATTATACAGAGCGGAGGCATGGAGACCTCCAATCAGCAGCTTCCACGGTGCCATGTAGCTTGGCCTTCAGATAGACAAAACATAAAGTGGAAAAGTACAGGCTTCTGCACATTGATAGAATGATGAGTTTAACTTTAACAAAAGTTGCTTCAAAGTGTTATGAAATCTCACAACTCCAAATAGTGTTGTGCCTGTGTAGACTTACAAATAGGTCCACATAGTAAGGCGAGAACAATCAAACTTGAATGAAATAAAAAACTGTTGTCGTCCTGTAGAATTACGAGATGCTGAGCGGAAAGCGCCCGGGAACAAGAATGAGGCTTTTCAGGCAGATTCTTCCAGCTTTTGAGACTTTATATTCCACTGTTAATTAATTCTCTTAGTTCTGCAGAATTAGACGCCTCATTAAATTTGACAGGCTTGGTCCAAGAAGGCAAAAAAGTTGGTTTTTGATCTTCGTTCCCAAATGTGAGACGGCCTGTTCTTGTGATTGAGAGAACAGCCTCAGGACCAAATCCATGTTAGATTTAAAAGCACAATGTAATGCCTTCAAACGGCCTCATGTTTAATTACCGCCAGGACAGAATGAGTCATTATCAATGCATTCATCGGCTCATTTGCAAATTTTCAGTATAGCTTTCATTATCCCCATAACCAACTGAAATGATCATGATAATTTCTGCATCTGTTAGAATTCAAACGCCATATCATACCTGCTGAGTTCAAATAATGTTAAAGGTGCTTTCAACTGTGTCCGCACTGGTGGGGGCGGGTCCCGGCACCTAAAGGTCCATGAGCATTTGAGCTGACATGTTTGCAATCTCACTCTGGGCCGATGGGGGTGGACCCAGAATGATAAATTGCGCAATGCTGATGTATGGCGTCTTCTTTCCTCTTAAGACAGCTTTACAGGATGGTAAATGCTGAGGGGAGGATTTTTTTTTATTTTGTTGTTTGGACCAGTCTAGTTTAGCTGCTGTGGACTTCAGAATGCACAAGTTAAATGAATGGGGCTAGGGCCGGCTAAGCGCAAAGGCAAGGCAAGGCAAGGCAAGTTTATTTATATAGCACAATTCATACACAAGGCAATTCAAAGTGCTGAACAAAACAAGAAAGCATTAAAATCATAAATAATCACAGAACATTAAAAAGAAAGATACAAATATAAAAACCCTCAGTTGTATGCACAGCTAAACAGAACTGTCTTTAACCTGGTTTTAAACATTGTCAGAGAGGAGGCCTGTCTCACATCTTCAGGAAGACTGTTCCAGATTTTAGCAGCATGAATCTGAAAAGCAGCCTCCCCATGTTTAGTTCTGACTCTGGGCACTAACAGGAGTCCAGTCCCTGTGCTCCTCAAAGTCCGGGCTGGTTCATATGGGACTAACGTTTTTGATGCCTTGAACCTTGTCATTGAAAAAATTAGCAAACTCATTGCATTTACGTTTGGAAGTAAGCTCTAATGGCATTTGAACAGGGGGGTTTGTTAATCTATTAACTGTTGAGAACAGAACACGCAGTTCAAATGCATTTTTTCTCATTTTCCACATTTATTAACATTGGTCATCCCATTCCCTTTGGACCAATGGCTCCAATGTGTTTGTTATTATCACATTTCCTGTGTTCGAACTGTTTGATTCTCTGATCTGTGTTGGCAAATCTACAACTTTGATATGTTTTCATTTACGATTTAGAGCTATACAAAAATATTACAAAAATAAATTGAATTGAATGGAACTTTGAACTGGGAGTGTCCATGTGGATGTTGAAATCGCCAATGACCAGAGAAGATCTGTAGATGGCGGACAGCTCGGTGTAAAAGTCTGTGAAAAATTATGATCAGTTTTGAGAGGGATGGTAAATTATCGTTATGAGCAGAGACTGAGAGAAAAAATGAACAACACAACAAAAGTAATTTAATTTTTAATCTTACATAGACTTAAAAAAAATCCCAGAATCTCACCTTTCAGGATCTAATCAACTAATCAATGAATAGAAAGAATAACCCTCACTTTGAATTATTATTAAAATATTTGCTGTGTGTTTTGTGAATGAAACTTCAGCACAAGAGAATTACCAAGTAGTTGTAGCCAGGTGCAGAATCTTGGTGAAGAATTTTTACTTTTTAATTCCTACCCATTTCTTCGCTTTGCCATGTTTTTCCGGCCAAGTACAGTGGGAAGAAAAATCCATTCACAGACTTCCTGGTTGGATTTAGTGTACTATTCCAGTCTGGTTTACAGGACCGGTGTGTGGAGGTGGGCAACAGCTGTTTGGCTTGTTCTGCGGAGAGACGCACCAGCCTCAGGGCCATTCTGGGTGAAGTCAATATGATCTTTCCTGGTGTAATAACAAAACAGCAGAAATGAATCTTCTTGCCGCAATAAAGTGCAGTAAACAAAACTAATGCGTGTTGAGATGTGCACGGCCACAAAACAAGCCGCGATGGCGTTGGTAAATGTGAACTCTATTATCAGGAAGTAGCATTTTCTCCCGTGTATATACAACAGTGAGAGAGAATTGCACAGGAAGAACACACCAACAATAAAAAAAGCAGTTTATAAGATTTATCTCAAGGACGAAAAAAGCAACGGGAAGCATTTAAAGGCCGTATTTTAATCAATCTGGTGTAGCTGGTGCTGCAAAGAGTACTCTGGCCCCTCACCGGACATTTCCCCTCTGCAACATCATACGGTTGTTATCATTATCTTGTATTTTTACCATTTACTCACTTTTTCCCACTTTCTTACCTGCCCTTCATGGATCAAAAGCTTCTATAAGTGTGTTATTATTGCATATCCTTTGTTCGAACTGTTTTAATTCTCTGATCTTGACGTATCGACCATTTTGTAAAGTCCTCCAAGACTGTTATGATTAAGGGTCTTACTAAATAAATTGAATTGAAGTGAATTATTCCATGCTGTGGAGCATCAAGCCGATGTGGAGTGACACATGAAGCAGGCGACTAGTTTCACCTCTACAGCTCCGTGGGTAAGCTTGTAACTATTTTAATGTAAATGTAATTGCCGCTTAAAGGTACACTCTGCAGTTTTTAATCCTATTCATAGCATTGTGATAATATATTGTGATTTACTGTATTATGGTGGCTTCGCAGGACAATATGCCGTCTTTGACAGCGGACCCCAAATCCCTGTCAAACTCCTTTTTGTCCCTCATCAACCACTGTATTTCAAGATGGCACATTGACATGTAGAGTCTTCCAGCTCTTATGTACATTTATAAGTCGATTTCTAAGCCTATGAAAACAATTCAAAAACATGGTGGAAGTAAATATTCTCAAAAAGGTTACATTTGTTATTGGTGAACATGTTTTTTTCATTTGGAGCAACTGTAGAAATTACACAGAGCACCTTTAAGGCTCGACACCGTATGGCCTGGGGATGTCAATCCGGTTCTAGAAATGGCCTTTGTGGGTGGAGTCTGATGTGCTCCTGCTCGGGTTGGAACTGAAACCTGCAGCCACACCGGCCCTTTCTGGAACCGGGTTGACATCCCTGGATAGCTGAATGAGGTCGGACGTTCGGTGTCTACGGCGTGGCTGTGAAGTATCGCACGCTGAATGGTAAGGTGTGTCGTCGTTTGCATCAATATTTTCCTGTCAATTTATATGTTCAAGTTTCGAACAGCAGTTTTTCTTTCAACTCTGCGGCTGATCTAGCGATGCGGCTAATGTGTGTGTTTTTATTGTGGTGTTGTCAGAGTAGAGTTAATGGACTTATTATTCTGACTCTTTTCAGTTTTCGTAGCTATAGAGCACTTGTTTATTGACTAAATAGACTGGTGAATGAGACATGGAGGCTAACGGTAAAGCTGTTTAAGATAGCCGTTTATTTGTCCCACAGTGGGGAAATTTCATGTGATCCTTGTGCACAACACCTCGTGATGAAATCATGTTGTGACCTGTTCGAAGTAATCTATCTGCTACATTACAACAAGAAGTGCGGCCTATATATGAGCAAAATTAACTGCTTGCGATGTGGCTTATATACAGGGTGTGCCTATAATAGTCTAGAAGTTACAGACAGTCTCAAACCATCCCAACTCGGGTCCGTCCCAATACTTTCTACCACTCGAGGCAAACTAAGATGCAGAAATCTTGTAGAAACTATACTACTGCTTTCTTCCCTCTAAACTGCACACAACATTAATAATGACGTTGGCTGGATGATGAAGTCGGTCTGATTCATGGTGTGTGTGTGTGTGTGTGTGTGTGTGTGTTTGTTTTCTGGTTTACGAGGCCGATTTTCAAGACTTTTCTCCGAGTAAGGAGGACCCTCCGGTTTAGGAGGACATTTTGCTGTCCTCATAAAAATTACATTCTAAATCGTTTTCTATGCATTTTTTAATGCCTAAAAAGTGGTTTTCTCAAAAGTCTTTTTAAACCAGAAACCTGAGAAAAGTAGTAAATCTGTGTGTCCGCCACTGCCCCTAGTGGTCGTTTTCTCCCGCGCGGGAAATGATGGAATATACACACAAACGCGGGAAATTATACACATTGGCGGGAGCGACACACAAAGTCATTACTGCGCATGCTCCGTGTGGGGAAGTGGAGGAGAGCGTCTTTCGCCAGTCAAGGCTGCTTCAACACTTTTCTTCACCCATCCACCCTCAAAGGAGACGGGACCACGAGGAGGGACACGGGACGCACCCGCACACAGGTATGAGAGAGTTTTCACTGGTCAACAGATGTTGTTTAGCACAAAGGAGCCGCTGGTAGAAGAGCATAACGTAGCTGCGGGGGTCGGCAGCCTAGTTAAGCTGCGGGCTACGTAGCCATTTGCACGATTTATTAATTCTGTCACGTTTAGGTTCGGCAAATCTGCAGTAAATATACTGTCGACAGAGCAAACGGGACCGTAGTGACATACCCACTACAGGAAGATGAACATTAGCTAGCTATTTGCGGAGCTAAGTGGCTAACACACATGTGTGCTGCAGCTGCTTGATAATATAGTCAAAGTTACAATATAGATGCATTTTGCGTGCTGAGGCCATACTTGGAACAAATATATTAGGTAGTTTCCTAATGGAGAGGTGAGTAATAAAATCAGTCTGTGATAATTAGTAGAATATTTTATAGGAGCAGGCTACTTGATAAAATGATAATACTAAATGATAAGATTATTAGAAATAAGACATCTGCTGTATGTATTATGATTTTATGTTCAAGCAAAATTCAAGCATTGTCTATATAGAATTTTCCTTTTAATACGCAGCCCTTCTGCGTTGTGAGTGACTTGACACAATTAAAATACTATTGCAGTAAGTTCGTATGTATTTGAGAGCTGAATGGATGTAGAACAAGTCTTGGACCAGAATGTACATGTTTAATCTGTACACACATTGAATATCTGTTTGTTTCATAACAATAATATAATGTATTCTTAATAAAAGTAAAATATTAGATATATCGCTTTCCTTTCAAGCTCTATAGACATTGGGATGTCCCCTAGCAATGGACTACTTTATATAACTATAGTTAGCTGTTATTCCAGTGTCACATTTACAGATGTTTAATATTTTTAGAATATGAGCAGAATATATTATAGTTTATGGGTAAGGTGCAGTCCATTATAGTCTTCTATTGGAATCAGAACATTCATGGAGCGATGATTTAGAACTCCAAAAACCCTAACAACGGTCCTTGAAACCATGGGTGTGGACCCATGGTTTCTCCCAAAAGGCATCAGAGGGAAACATGAGTACATAGCCATGTAGGTGAAATGCACTGTTTCACTGTTGATGTTGATGAACTGAACTTCACATTAAAAAAGTTAATGTCATGATTACTTGAAATAGTTTTGATTTATGGTTTCTGAAAAACCATGAGATGAAAAGTAATGTTATTTTTAAAATGTTTGTTCTTAATTTCTCTTAAAGTCATGCCACAGAGAACTACTCCCCTTCAGGATGCCACAAAGCATATCCTTGAAGGAAGAGACAAGACTGCTATGTTAGAAGTAAAACATATTAATCCAGTCAAAGGTAAGTCACTGACACTAATATAATCACTGGTTCAGTTGTATCAATGGTTTGCTGCCCTTGTGTCTTTAATAAGCCTGTGTCTTCAGGTCGTGGTATTTTCTCTACCACTGTTTTCAGTCAAGGAGACTTTGTTGTGGAGTATAGGGGGGTACTTGTTGATTCAGCTGAACAGAGACGTAAACAGAACCAGAGTGAATGTTCAGTCTTCTGGTTCGACTTCACATGGAAGCGGAGGATTTGGAGGTAGGTTCAGTGTGACTGTTTTCGTCTCTGTGGTGAGTGTAGCTGCCTAGTGTAGCTGCCTAGCCTAAAGTACATTTTGAACATGTGTCTCTATAAATGTGTTTAGTGCATGATGTTTGTATTTTTAATGTGCAGTATTGATGGCGGAGAGGAAGACGGATCTTTTGGACGATTAGTCAATGACGAGCATAAGTTGCCCAACTGCCGAATGAAGTTGATTGAGGTGAAAGGCAAACCACATCTTTGCCTTTTTGCCCTGAAGGAGATCAAAGCAGGAACTGAAATAAATTACGACTATGGTGGGACATCATGGCCCTGGCGTGAAGAGGTGGGTCATTTAGTGTTTTTTTTCCCCCTATAAATTGATGCCCAGGTTTACAATAATTATCTATATTTTTTGACTTGATAACAATGATATTCTAGTTTTCTAATTTCACTATTTTGCAGATTCCCCTTACTGTTACAACCAGTGCTGCACAAGGGTCTAGTCAAGACTGTATCCAAGACAAAATTCAGCCATTGGCAGTCCTTATTGATGGTCAGAGGACTTTTTGTTGTTTTTTGGCAATAGTGTACTGGAGATGACTGAGAGATGTTGATACCACATATAGCCTTGTTTATTATTTTCTCTTTTTTTTTTTTACAGAGACCAGAGAGAGACCAGACGTATCTGACTGCAATAGGACATCAGGCAGTCCTGCTTGTGAGGTTAGGTTAATTATGGTTGTTTGTCAAAGCAATGATTAACAGTTTTAAAATAGCTGAGGAAAGAAGCAGGTCAAAGCATCATCACATACCCCTGGTATAGTTTTATTAAATGAGGGGGTGACAAAATGCCTCGAATTACTAAAAAAATCATTAATCCTCAAATTATTTGACTGCCTAACCTTTATTACTAATGTACAAAATGAAGCCAGTAAAATTGATATTATGGGTATTTTACAACGCAATGGTCAATGGCAATACACTGAATTGACAATAGTGTAGATTTTACTGTTTTTACATTACTGTAGGGACTGTGTACAGATGTTACGGCCACTGACGGGCCGTATATCCTCCTCTCTCAGGTGGAAGCTGTGCTCATTGGTGTGCGTGCGTGACACACGGAGCCGCGCCTTTAAAGCTCGTGCACATGCCAGAGATTGCGGTTGGCTCATCCTGCTCCCATCTTGACACCTGCGTGTCCCGCCTCTCTTTGTATGGTTTGGTTTGGTTTGGTTGCTTGGTTCGTCTTGGTTCGTTTTGGTTTATTTTCTACACACCATTCAACATTGCAGAAATACGCTCACGGCACATACACTTACACGCACTCATTACAGACTTCCACACCTCATAAAAATATTAACTTTGCTTATTAATAAATATTATTTCAATTGGCAACTGTTTGGCGTGTTTCTGTCATTTCTATTGAGCCGGGTAATGACAGAAACACGCCAAACAACAGTTGCCAATTGAAATAATATTTATTAATAAGCAAAGTTAATATTTTAATGAGGTGTGGAAGTCTGTAATGAGTGCGTGTATGTGCCGTGAGCGTATTTCTGCAGTGTTGAATGGTGTGTAGAAAATAAACCAAAACGAACCAAGCAACCAAACCATACAAAAAGAGGCGGGACACGCAGGTGTCAAGATGGGAGCAGGATGAGCCAACCGCAATCTCTGGCATGTGCACGAGCTTTAAAGGCGCGGCTCCGTGTGTCACGCACGCACACCAATGAGCACAGCTTCCACCTGAGAGAGGAGGATATACGGCCCGTCAGTGGCCGTAACACAGACACAGGAAGCTCGCTACATAGATGGCTTCCATTTGCAGTCCCCAATGTCACATTTTGGATTTGTTTCTCTTGTTTAGACACAGCTTAGCAGTGTAAGCAACATTGCCGGACAACACTTTGCAGCGCTTGATGACCAGGCCAATGACTTAGATCCTGCAGACTTATCAAGAGGTTCTTCCTTACTTATATTAGAAACTATTGGTAAATACTTGCAAAGCACTGTGCCTTCATGTGTTGTCCTCAACAGATGCTGAACTGAAAGAAGCGTGTCAGTTTAGTGCGACACAAGACTGCTCTGTGTATCAGGTTAGTTCTGTTGCTTATCTTGGGATGTATGAATGTTAAGAAGTTTTTGTAAGGGAAATATCAATGAATTCCAATTTATATATGTACGGTCTGCGGCCATGTCCACACGTAGCCGGGTATTTTTAAAACCGAATATTTCCCCGCTCCGTTTTTTAAAAATAATTTACATCCACACATAACCGAACATCTGCATTTTCAATCTCTGACGTCCTGCGTCGGGGGGAAAACACTGCATCAAACCTCTGCTCGCTTCTGATGCCGGTGCTTCTGTAGCGACACTTTAACAGTCACAAGAAGCTCTAGGTAAAGGCATATGTTCACAAGCACTGACCCCGTCTTCAGTCCTGGTTTAGCTCCTGGTTTAGCTCCTGGTTTGGGTTGTTTTGGCGCGTGCGTGATCACTTTGCTGCTCTCTGATGTGGAGTGAGGATCGCTGCTGTGACACTTTTTAAGGCAGTATGATCCATGCTTCAGTGATCAGAGGTCGCATGTGTTGTTTGTTGTTGTTTTGGGGGCGTACTGTGACGTGCGAAAACGCAAAACTCCGGTTATCCTTGTCTACACGCAAATGCATAAACAGTTTTCAAAAATCTCCACTTTGCCCGGAGTTTCTTTATATATTCGTTTATGATTCGTTGTCATGTGGATGACAGGTGCAAACGAAGACAAATATCTGTGGTTTAGCAGAGACCCGGGTGGACATGGCCTGCACCTCTTACCCTAGCTGCATCATTTTGAGTGTCATAAACTTACAATTGAGCGAGGGTGTGCCGTGTGCCTAATGTGAATGGTAACAAAGTCAGATCTTGGTTACACTTTGTGGCTGTACAGGTCATATAAACTAATTTACTGAGGGAAACGAGTACAAGACACATATTTATGTATGTATATGCCGGGAGTGCACATAACTTTTTCAGTGAGGTACTCAGATGAGTACCAGAACATGGTGTTTGGTACTCACTCAATTTGTCGCGCGGTTCTTAATAAAAATGTTATACTTGCTTCTTTTTAATGCTAAAGTTTAGATCATCTCAGATAATCCACTCAATCCAAGTCAAATAACCCATTAAGGCCTGACACAGCTGATAAAACAGACCTGTAAAACCTATGGGCGAGTTCAGAACTACCTCCAAAACCTGAGGTTTTCCTGAAATTCAACGTCTACAGAATGATTGATATCTCGGCCTCTGGAGCAGATAGAAACATAATTTCAAAATAATGAGAGCTGACACATAATAATAATAACATGATTATACAACTACAAAAATGTGAGACTAACACATGTTTCTCAAAGCAATAAGTCAAAAAGAGTTTCGAAATAAAGTGGCACTATGTGGAAAAAAATATTTAAAAAATCCACTCTCGGCCCAAAAAGTCAAATAATGACTCACAGGGCTCTTCCTTTACTAAGTAAAATAGAAAAACAAGACTGTTTTGATTTGATTTGGTCATAACATTTTACTTTTGTGCTCAAATAACATGCATTTTCACTGCAAGCGAAAATGTAAGTACCTGAGCTTTAATTCAGTGAGGTTTGACTGCGCTTCGCGTGGAGACGTGGGAGAGGCATGGAGGAGAGAAGGGGAAGAGACGGGGGAGACAGGCAAGACACGCACGTGTGTATGCTTCTGTATGCGCGTTTATGGTCCGCGCTCGGTACATGACCACGTCTATGGTCCGCGCTCGGTACATGACCACGTCTATGGTCCGCGCTCGGTACATGACACGTCTATGGTCCGCGCTCGGTACATGACCACGTCTATGGTCCGCGCTCGGTCTATGGTACATGACCGCCCGCTCGTCTATGGTCCGCGCTCGTACATGACACGTCTATGGTCCGCGCTCGGTACATGACGCAGCCTCATGCCGCGCTCGGTACATGACCACGTCTATGGTCCGCGCTCGGTACATGACCACGTCTATGGTCCGCGCTCGTACATGACCACGTCTATGGTCCGCGCTCTACATGACCACGTCTATGGTCCGCGCTCTGTACATGACCACGCGCGTCTATGGTCCGCGCTCTGTACATGACCACGTCTATGGTCCGCGCTCTGTACATGACCACGCGCGTCTATGGTCCGCGCTCGACCAGTACATGACCACGTCTATGGTCCGCGCTCGGTACATGACCACGTCTATGGTCCGCGCTCGTCGTACATGACCCGCGTCTATGGTCCGCGCTCGTACATGACCACGTCTATGGTCGCGCTCGGTACATGACCACGCGCGTCTATGGTCCGCGCTCGGTACATGACCAGCGCGTCTAGTCGTACTGACCGCTATGGTCCGCGCTCGGTACATGACCACGCGCGTCTATGGTCCGCGCTCGGTACATGACCACGCGCGTCTATGGTCCGCGCTCGGTACATGACCACGCGCGTCTATGGTCCGCGCTCGGTACATGACCACGCGCGTCTATGGTCGCGCCCGCTGTACATGACCACGCGCTTGGTCCGCGCTCGTACATGACCACGCGCGTCTATGGTCCGCGCTCGGTACATGACCACCGCGCGTCTATGGCCGCGGTACATGACCCGCGCGTCTATGGTCCGCGCTCGTACATGACCACGCGCGTCTATGGTCCGCGCTCGGTACATGACCACGCGCGTCTATGGTCCGCGCTCGGTACATGACCACGCGCGTCTATGGTCCGCGCTCGGTACATGACCACGCGCGTCTATGGTCCGCGCTCGGTACATGACCACGCGCGTCTATGGTCCGCGCTCGGTACATGACCACGCGCGTCTATGGTCCCGCGCACATGCTCGCCGCTCAGCGTCGCGTCGGTACATGACACGCGCTCTATGGTCCGCGCTCGTACATGACCACGCGCGTCTATGGTCCGCGCTCGTACATGACCCGCCGTCATGGTCCCGCTCGGTACATGACCCGCGCGTCTATGGTCCGCGCTCGTACATGACACGCGCGTCTATGGTCCGCGCTCGTCTATGGTCCGCGCTCGTACATGACCACGCGCGTCTATGGTCCGCGCTCTGTACATGACCGCGCGCGTCTATGCCGCGCTCTGTACATGACCACGCGTCTATGGTCGCGCTCGTACATGCCGCGTCTCTGTACATGACCACGCGCGTCTATGGTCCGCGCTCTGTACATGACCACGCGCGTCTATGGTCCGCGCTCTGTACATGACCACGCGCGTCTATGGTCCGCGCTCGGTACATGACCACGTCTATGGTCCGCGCTCGGTACATGACCACGTCTATGGTCCACGCTCTGACCACGTCTATGGTCCGCGCTCGGTACATGACCACGTCTATGGTCCACGCTCGGTACATGACCACACTCGTTTGCTGAGCTGTCAGAGCGCCACAGTTTCTCCCGGGGTCAGAACGGAGGATGTTATTGCACCACGTCATCCCAGGGAGGAGCGCCACACTATTTGAGGACTATGTGAGGTACGCAAATGCGTTTACTAACGCAAGTGAAAGTACGCATTTCTGATGTTTGTCACGCATGCGTACCACTTATGTGCACCCCTGGTTATATGTATTTGTGTATGTATGTATGTATGTATTGTATTTACTTTACATATTTACCGTATATGCTCTTTGCAATTCTACAGCATTGTGCAACAAAAAATAGTCTCTTACAGTATTTACGTAGAACAAACATACAAGAAAAACCATTATGGTAGAACTGTGACAAATGTAAACAATAAAATGCACACCTCGTCATGAGCTGAGAAATTTTTCAATTTAGGAAAGATTTTCAGGAATAAATGGACATCATCAGAAATGTCTGAAATGAGTTTTTTGTTTACCTCATTGTATTGATAAATATTTAGGAAAGTAACTTTTGACTTTGGGCAAATAAAATATAAATGGTACTTGTATGGGGTAAGGTTACTGCCAATAAAGACGTGCATGTCTAGAAAAAAATTCGTGCATATTTATTGGTATTTGTGCATAAAAATATTGTATTTGTGCATAAAAATATTGTATTATTTCATGATTAAGATAATACAAACTAAAAAGACATGGAATTTCGTAATTAAGAAAAAAAAAAAAACTAAGTGTGATTTTGTTTTTGTGAATGTGATTTTTTTTTTTTTTTTTTTTTTTTTGTGCTTGCATTTTCTTGAATACGAATTTCAGCAGTGAGAAAACTGTCAATATTACGTCACTGCTCACAGACATTAACAATCGAGCCTGCGCTGAGTTGATCAACTTCATTGCCCCAAAACTAAACATGGCAGAAGGACACAACATAAATAACGTGGCTCAAAATCAGGTAAATAACTATATTTGATCATTTTGATCGTAAATAAATGTGTAATTCCATAAAATGTGTTCATAAGTTTCTTGTCCGTCTCTAGAAAAGTTTTTTTAGGCAGTGTTTAGTTAACACTAGCTTCAATGCTAGTTTTACAGCTTACCATGTTATTTTAAAACCAACATTTTTACATTCTTAGCATTTACATTTTATGAAGCCTTTGCCCCGAATCAATGTGGTTAATGTGTTGATACCAGCCCCAACCCTCCAGATTATTCATAGTTGGAGCTGTTACTGCCCCTGAGCAATATGAAGAACACCTCCGTGCTATATTCATCCTCGGTTGTTAGACGTAGCAGACCCTGTCCCTGTGGGCCTCAATCTTATATTTGTATATTTGACACATTACTTTTACTCACTAGTTCAGTAACGCTAGTTAGTCTGTTGTTTAGACTAAAATAAATGCATTTTCTGTAGAATAAAACAATATAAGGATAAGAAAATAAAACTAGCATTGGAGCTAACAACACTGCCAAAAAACCTTTTAGAGGGACAAGAAACATCTTATGAACACGTTTACGGAATTAATATTTCTTACACATTCATTTCCAACCAAAATGATAAAATATAGTTATTTACCTGATTTTGAGCCACGTTATTTATGTTGTGTCCTTCTGCCATGTTTAGTTTTGGGGCAATGAAGTTGATCAACTCTGCGCAGGCTCAATTGTTAATGTCTGCATTCACAAAAAAAAAAATCACAC